TCATACAGAATAACTACAATTTACCATAATGATTTTAACATTTAGCTCTATATTAGATACCACATAAAATTTTAGATCTATATTAGACATCATATAAAATATATTCAATGCCTGATTTAAATATCTCAACATAAGTTATAATTTTCCACGCTATCATACAGAATAACTACAATTTACCATAATGATTTTAACATTTAGCTCTATATTAGATACCACATAAAATTTATTCAAAATGCCTTTTTATAATTTGGATCTATATTAGACATCATATAAAATATATTCAATGCATGATTTAAATATCTCAACATAAGTTATAATTTTCCACGCTAAGTCATTTTCGTTCATAAAATCGATCTATCAGGTTAGTACAATATAGAATACGTAACAACCAGCCAATCACGTTTTCGTAATACACGAGGCTTTAATATTTATACCTGCTAGCTTGAAGATAAACTTGCAATTTCTTTACAGGAACCCTATAGTTAGAATAATACACAAAGAACAATATGAGCAATCTTTGGGTTGTCTTTTTAATTGCTGCCTTCTTTACAGTGTCTCATGCGAACATGTTTTCTCGGAGATATGCCAGACACCTGGAGTTTGATGATAAAAAGTCGGAACACGAACTTTTAGGAGAGTACGATTCTATATCGTTTAAAGACTGTGTGGCGAAGTGTCAAAAAGATTGTGGCGTCTTTGGATATAATCATGGATTGATGAAGTGCCGGACCCACAAGAATCTCAACACTTCTTCAGTGTCTGATGAGGCAGGCTGGAGATATTTTTTTGATGATTGTATGTATTAATTTGTCAATTTTTTTTTAAACAAATCATTAAAAAACATAAGAAAGGAATCATTGGCTATCATTGAACTATCATTGCACTATTGTATAAAGTCGAAGAGGTATCTGCATAAAATATTTCCCCCAATAATATCAAAATCAATGTGTTTGTATTATTGTATCTTGTCTCAGATTTAGCATTTTCCCCTATTAATTGCAAATGGCATTTTATTTTAAGTTACTGATTTTTTATTATTTTGATTTAGAATGATATTTGTGTATTTCATACCTTTTTTCTCTATATCTGCTTTTTGTTGACATTAGCATTTAATATATTATTGAAAGGTAAACAAGAGTAAATGCTGACAGGGAGACATTGATATGATTAATATAATTATTTTAAGATTTCTGTACAATTTTGAACCAGTAGAAATTCTCAATTTGAAACAAACTTAATATTAGGAATATCCGTTCCTGAACCAGGAACGATAACTTTAAATATTATGATTTAATTTTATAAAGGGGTCAAAATGAAGCTTGAAATTCTTTTCATGGAACAATTCCCACGTCAGGCATCTCAATATGTTTCAAAGTTCTTTGAAGTGTTCGAAATGGTTTTCTTTTTAATGATCACCTCTGTTTCCCAGAAAAGTAAAAATAAATATTCCTTTAATCTGGACTTAGATACCAATGCTATTTTGTATGATGTGAAATTAAAAGTAATGATAGCACAAGCTTTTTACATCATCTATTACATAACAATTGAAATTCAAAAAGAACTAGGATATAAAATAAAATAAATGACAAAATAAATATAATAAATGATACAAAATATAGTATATGTATTAAAAAAACAACAACAAACAAACATGCAATTTCCTCCGAATGCCTAGATACCTATAAATTTTTTTATCCTAAAATATTTTTGTTGACCAATTTTCAATTAGAAAATGCATTAATGTTGCTTTTACTTGCGTTTCCTGAAACTAAATTTGAGATTTTCTCATTTTCCCATTATAATATTATTTAATAAAATGATTCATTTTGCAATAAAACTTATCTTTTAAGAAATATCATGGTTAAATACGCATTACTTTGTGAATTCAGACACATTTTTGTGATCATTTTCAATTACTTTTTTGCTGATTTCCAGAACCTGAGGATCGGACAACCTTAAGGATATTTCTAATTCACATGTGCAATCTTAATTTATAGCTTTTTTGTTTTCCTTATCCGTCCATTGCATCTTTATATTGACAATTAGTTTTTACTTAATTATGAAGCAGAATATTAAAAAACAAACAGTAATAGTATAACTTATCATATTTATTTACTTTTCAATGAATATAAGCTGTTTTGTAAAGCTGCCCGAAATGAAAATGTTTACGATTTTACACACTTCTGTAAATTGCACCAGCACTGTTTATGTAGGGGGCAAAGTGCGGTAGTGATGGCAATATTTAAAAACCTCTCAAAATTGGACCTGGATATTTTGTAGCTTTCAACATTGGTCGCACAAAATATATTTTTATTATTGCCACTAAATAGTTCATCACTCCAAGGATTCGTTTTGTTTGTTCTCTGACATTTAGAAAAACAATAACAAGCACCTGATAGGTTCCTGAAACAATAACGATCATTTGATTGGTTGCTGGGAAGTAGTTATGTAAACAAACTGAAAAAAATTTAGAAAAGTAAGGGAAATCCATGATACATGTATCTATTACCTATGCTCTTTTGTAGGAAAAAAGTTAATGATTTTATTAGAAGTAATGATAGGAGCCTGGTACAGCAGTTGCTGGTACTAGTAATGTATCTTTCTTTCTCAGGATTTTTGAAGTTTTGAAATCCAATATAGTTAGGATTAATCGACCTCGCTAATGTTGTAAATACTGAACTGTTATTTTGAATGCTCTCATTTTTAGATAGTAAACTTGAGGATAAGTTTGATTTCCAGATGTAGAATTAGAACCAAGTTCTTCTAAAATACAGTATAAATAATGAGCCTTGTAAACAAAGATGATATTGTTACAAGCCTTGTCTGCTGGAACCATAACATATTGTTCATGTAGTTTTTTCTAATTCTTTTATTATTGATTTAGTGAAAACGGAACGAAAGATGGTTCGCATATCATCTTTTATCTTTTAACTTTCTTATACTTTCTAATACGATTCAGGTCCTTCCGATGAGACCTTAAAAACCGAGGCCCCCTGTCACGGCAGGAGTTAGCACGATAAAGATCCCTCACTGCTCAATGGCCCTGAGTGCCGAGTAAATGTCAAAATTTGAAGCCCTTCACCGGTATATGGTGACGTCTATATATGAGTAAAAAACTCTCAAATGGGACGTAAAACAACATACAATCAATCAATCTAATACGATTCCTTGATATAATTCTAATTAGTGAGACCTTAATTGTCAAACAACGGACACAGTATACTTTCAATTTGCTATGTTTGATAATCATCGATTTTTTTTTACTTATGGAAGCTAAGCATATAGTCTAATCTCGTCTTTCTGGACCCTGTGTGCTACGAAGCGACTCGAAATTTCCGGTCACACGTGCACTAATTAAAAAAAAAGAGTATGACGCGGAAAAAACAAATAGGCGTAAGTGACGAGAGGGAAACACAAGACATATCTATTCCCAAAAGCTTTTCACCACAGTTTAAAATGGTCACCAAACTGGTGAGTTATGGAAAGATTTTAAGCACCAATTGGAAATTTTATGCTCCATGGTGAGTAAATTAGTCCCCAATTAGAGCTCTGAAGTGAGTTATAGCTTTCAGTTATATGTACAAAACATCAGGCGAACGGCATGGAAAAATTATCAATGATTATGTTTACTTATAAGTAGCACTATACATTTAAATACTGGGTTTTAGGGCAACATGTGTTTCGATGGACCCAAGAACCAAACTGTTTGAGACGATGTCAACAGTTTAGTTCGAGGGTTCGGCAAAATATATTTTGCAGGAGAACGGTCAATAAATGTTTTATCATATCTTTTACTATTACGTATTTTATGCTGGCTACCATGTTTGCGAGTGAAATGACAAATAAGTTGTAGATTTCTTTTACCTGCATTCAGCACTCGGTAGCTCGGTAAATTTCGTAGCTGTCGAAAACCAACGCATGCAAATTAAATATGACTGATCTCGCCTACGCTGAGTAATAATCTGTACCTTAATAAAATACATGGGCTGATCCAGTGTCTCACCAACCGATCTAACGTCATTTTAGGACTGCTCAGTAAAACATTTCAAATGATATACAGACTTTTATAAAGAACAGTCTTAAAGGTTTAACAATAGCTTTTGTTTCAATGTTTAAAAGGATCCTCTGATCGAGAAAATTATTCTTCTTAAACAATTATTTAAACATTACCAATAAAAATCGAGTTCATTAGTCATTGAAAATATTTGAATTAAAATAGATAAGAAAAAAAATAATACAACCATAAATCCAATTTAGATCTTTAAAAATTAATATTTGCGCTAGAGTGTTAATTTCATTTAAGTTCACATTACATTCATTACAATTATTTCCAATAAAGCTTACAATTATATCCGACTAAACTTACAAATACAGTGTTTTTCTTCCTTTATTTAATATCCCTGCACATGTTTGTGTGTCTATATCTTGTCATATAATATGCCGTGTTGAAAATACAATTCCCGCATTTTTTATTCTGTTTCAGTTCTCCCTATAGATTGTAAGGATATTCGTGATAATGGTAACACTTATACAGATGTGTACGACATTTATCCCTATGGCATCAGCTCCCTCCCTGTCAGAGTATACTGTGACATGGAGACAATGGACGGAGGATGGACGGTATGTAGATTATTACTATATTACATTAGCAGTCCTATCAGAGTTTACTGTTACATGGAGACAATAGACGGGGGGTGGACGGTATGTAGATATATCACTATATTACATTACCAGTCCTGTCAGAGTTTACTGTGACATGGAGACAATGGACGGAGGATGGACGGTATGTAGATTATTACTATATTACATTAGCAGTCCTATCAGAGTTTACTGTTACATGGAGACAATAGACGGGGGGTGGACGGTATGTAGATATATCACTATATTACATTACCAGTCCTGTCAGAGTTTACTGTGACATGGAGACAATGGACGGAGGATGGACGGTATGTAGATTATTACTATATTACATTACCAGTCCTGTCAGAGTTTACTGTGACATGGAGACAATGGACGGGGGGTGGACGGTATGTAGATTATTACTTTATTACATTACCTATCCTGTCAGAGTATACTGTGATATGGTAACAATGGACGGAGGATGGACGGTATGTAGATTATTACTATATCACATTACCATTCCTGTCAGGGTGTATTGTGATATGAAGACAATGGACGGAGGATGGACGGTATGTAGATTATTACTATAATGCACTGACAATTTGATATGGATTTGGCTTGTAATTCAAGGGATAAGTAAGGGACAAGAAGCTATTTATTACACACTAAGCATACAGATGTTCATCACAATGACTTAACAAATATACATCTTTGAAAGGCAATTCAAAAGAGAATAGACGGATCCCTAAGCTTTGACAGGAACTGGACAGATTATAAAAATGGTTTTGGTGAACCGGAACAGGATGTCTGGATTGGTAAATATAAATTTTTGATCCAGTCCAAAATTGGACAAATAATATTTAAAGAAAGACTTCAAAATTTGTAGCGAATTAAAGATCTGGTTTTAGACTAGTTAATATGAAATCTAATGTTAGTGTTGTGTAAAATGCATTTGATTGGATAATACACTGATGTTTGAGGCAGTTAAACGAGCATTAACGAGAATGAAAGCTTTTGACTGTGACGTCATAATAGAACGACGCAAAGACACAATGCTTCATGACGTGTTTCGTGTAACAAAACTCAACAAAATAAGACGTAAACATCAAACAAAATGCATAAATTTCATTAGAATAACTATTTTCTTATTTATTAATGCTTATTTAACGGTCGCAAACATCCGTTTTATCGGCTCCCCTTAGTGTCGCCGGTAAAACTCAGTTTGCGACGGTTAAATCAGCATTAACGGTAGTAATTAACAAATGAGAAGGCGGTTATTCCCTTATTTATATGCATGTATATTGGGCGACATTCATTGATTGTGTGCTATTAAATTCTTAAATAAAATTCTGTACATCACAAAATTTTTTCAACACCCTATTTTCGAGAGTTATAGTACATGTATTTGGTATGTATTACAGATATAAACTTTTCACTAAATTTGTGACTTCTTTCATATAATTCTTTAAAAATGAATATACAAATATACGCAAGAAATTTTTGCTTTGCAAACAGCTTGTTTTGTGAAACTCAAGTTCTGGTGAATTAAAAGTGATAAGGAGAACAAAGAATTTTTTAACTGACTGTATTTTGTTTTCCAAAACGTAAACAACTCTCCAAAATGTATGCATGTTAAAAGTACAAAACACGGATTTTTTTTTTAAATATTTAACTTAATAATGTTATTTGATACTTCCTTAACGCAAGATTATTTTTCCTCTTATGTTATTGAAGCAGGATAACAATTGATTGATTTCAAATAAACCTTAAAACAGGAAATGACGTTATCCACCAGTTAACAAAGAAAGGGAACTCATCCCTCTATGTATCCATCACACTAGTGAATGGCAGCAGACTGTATGAATTGTACGATCGATTCTCTGTGTCGAATGAAACAGAAAAGTATCAACTCTTTCTGGCGGGACCTGCCACTGGAACCTTAGGTACGTGACAGGTAGTGTGTACCTGCAAAGAAGAGAGAGAGTGGGGAGGGGGGTGAGAGATGTCAAAACTATATCACAGCTTAAACAACAGTATTTTAAATGCTGACCCCTATACATGTGATGAATGGTTATAAAAATATATTATATCAAAAATATGTATATCTTACATAAACATTATTTATTTTATTATTACAATACTCTGCTTTTTTAATTAAAAGATTGCTCTAATAAAAAAAAATCCGAGAACATCATACCTGTATTGTTTTGGAGTATATCACCCCTCAGTCCTGTATCGTGTCGGAGTACTCCTCACCTGTATTGTGTGGGAGAACACAACACTTGTATCATGTTAAAGTACATCACACCTGTATCGTGTCCAAGTACATGCATCATAACTGTATCTTGTCGGAGCACATTACACCTGTATCTTGTTGGATGCATTGAGATATAAATTTAAAAATACTTAATATTTATTTCTGTTATGCCCCATTTAGCTACAGAGCACCTATTGGATCTTATAAACTTTGTATCTTAGTTGATCCTTAAGCTGGTCTTCGGTTTTGCAATCCATATGAACAAGAACCTATGATGGCTGTGTGTTTTTACCCATGTTTGTAATTTTGAATTATATATTTATCATATAAAATACACTAAAGCTTCTTGAGGTAGCTGTTAAATCAATTAGGGCATGTGACGGCACATATTGTCGTTCTGTACATATTGTCGTCGGCGACAATATGTAGCTACCCTCACTGTACGTATTGTCGTCCATCGGTACATATTGTTGCCGATATTTACAAACTATATGGCATATCAACCATTGCAATATTCGATCTTGTCCATTTGTTTTGTATAATTTTCCATTGATATTCCATAATTTTCCATTTGCATTGTATAATTTTCCATTTGTATTGTATAATGTTTATTTGTATTCTATAATTTTCCATTTGTATTGTATAATTTTTCATTTGTATTGTATATTTTTTTGTATTCTATAATTTTCCATTTGTATTCTATAAATTTTCATTTGTATTCTATGATTTTGCATTTCTATCGTAAAATTTTTATTTGTATTCTTTTATTTTCCATTTTTTTAACAATAATTTTGCATTTGCATTGCATAATTTTTATTTTCATTCTATAATTTTGCATTTATATTCTATAATTTTCCATTTGTATTGTATAATTTTCCATTTATATTCTATAATTTTCCATTTGTATTGTATAAGTTCTCATTTGTATTGTATAATTTTCCATTTGTATTGTATAAGTTCTCATTTGTATTGTATAATTTACCTTTTGTATTGTATTCTTTTAAATTTGTAGTGTATAATTATATAATACAAATGGAAAATGGAAATAGAAATGGAAAATATGATAATCTCTTAAGTTTTTCGATTATATTGGAAAGAAGAGACACATAAAGAGAAAAAGTGGATACGACACTTCAGATGTATTTCCCGAAACAAATATAGTGATCTAGACCTTTCCTGAATGAAAACTAATATTATGAAAACAGTCAAGATAAAATCTTGATAATTATGTAAAATTTCAAAGAATAAAATATTTTCTTAAAAATTATGAAAAAAATATTTGATTTGATTATAGTGATCTATGCATATATATGCAGAGAGGCTGGTTGTAAAGTAATAAAAAGAGAAACATCTCGTATATAGTTAAAAAAAGTGTTTCTCTTGAAGTTATAGCCCGAAACAGAGCATAAGTTTACGACGAAATCTTTTAAATGATAGACATGTAGAAGAAGTTCCGCATATTCAATGCGCCGCCAAATAAATCTATTAATACTAATAGGTATTTTCCATTTAAACCTGGTAGTAAGCGAAATAGTGGGAAAGGGCGATATGCCTCTTTTCACTAATTCTTAATTATCTCCCCTTGAAAGAGGACAAGGCCCTTCATTTGAACAAACTTGAATCCCCTTTATCCATGAATGCGCTTTGTGGCAAGTTTGGTTGAAATTGGTCCATTGATGTGTCAATATCTCCATCTTTCTCTCTCTCTCTCTCTCTCTCTCTCTCTCCGTGACCTTGGTAAATATTCGTCAAAATAAAATATAGGCGACAAAATGTGCAAATGTTCACAACATGTTCGCCGACGACAATATGTGCCGATGCATGACTGTACATTTTGTCGTCCATTATGCAGGAGAAAAAAGGCTCATCTCGGCACATAATGTCACCGGCGACAATATGTGCCAATGCACGACAATATGTGCAGTGAGGGTAGCTACATATTGTCGCCGACGACAATATGTACAGAACGACAATATGTACTGTACATGTCAAAGGGCACCATGTTCTATGACACTCTACAGATGTCTTTTACAATGGGATAGATATCATTGATCTCTATGGATGTTAACAATAAATATAGCATGATCTCAATTAAATAAATTATTTATTTCTCATGCATTCATTCTATAGGTGACAGTAAGTTAAACACGGGTTATTCTTGGGCCAATCTTTCTGGGATGTACTTCAGCCCCCCAGACAGAGACAGTGACAGGAGTAGTGGAGGGAACTGTGCTGTTTATAATGATAACACTACTCAAACCTAGTGATAATAATCCACATATTTCTCTTTACTTCTACAGGTGACAGTATGTTAAATCCTGGTTATTCTTGGAAAAATCTGTATGGGATGTCATTCACTACCCAGGACAGAGACAACGACAGATTGAGTGGATATAACTGTGCTGCTGACACTTTAGGAGGCTGGTGGTTTAACGAATGTCACTGGGTTTTCCTCAACGGTCCCTGGTCCCCGGCAAGCTGGTGGGGACCTTGGTATCCTACTGTTACATCCGGGTTATCTGTGAGGAAGACGATGATGATGATCAAACGTCACTAGGTATTCACTCATTCCTATATTATGTTGTGCATGTATTTACTTTTTCATATTGTAAGGGGTGGATGTGTTAAATACAATTTCTGAAGGAGAGAAGACACACACACACACACACACCCTCACTCACCCTCACCCACCCACTCTCACACAACCACACCCCCCATATATATATATATATATATAGAGAGAGAGAGAGAGAGAGAGAGAGAGAGAGAGAGGATATTCAATGTTTTGTTGATGAATATGGAATTTATTTCACAAGTGGGACAGGATTTTTTATATTTTCACGAGTGCGAGGCACGAGTGAAAATATAAAAAAATCCTGTCTCACGAGTGAAATAAATTCCATATTCATCTACAAAACATTGAATTTTCTGTTTATTACATTTTCTTTGATTTTCCCTTTGCCTCTGTCTTTTCTTAACACAGTGTCATAGGCTTGACGTCATAGTTGAACGGTTGAGACGTCACAGCTTAGCAGTTCTGAGATTGAAAACATTGCATAGCATGGCTTTTAGCAACATATTTGGGAAGAAATTTGCAGTTTTAGCTGTATTAAGTTACTATCTCTATCTTATGACAGTCCAGAAATTATTTTTTACTTACTTTGATATCCTTTCACACTGTGAGAGAATATCATTTTGGTATCCTTTCACACTATGAGAGTATATCACTTTTATTCAATAAATAAATCACTGTTGAAAATGTAATACATATATATATATATATATATATATATATATATATATATATATATATATATATATATATATATATATATATATATATATATATATATATTGTTTATAGGTTTTTCTTCAAAGCAAATGGGGATTAAGAAAGAGGAAGCACGGATTGACCATACCATGATGTACGTTTTCATTACGCTGATGTAGATTTTCTGATACAAGAAACAGTTTTTTTTTCTATTCGTGTTAATCATTTTTCTCTATTCTGATTTGAAATTATGTTAATATATGAAATGGAAATACATGTGAACTTGTAAAAGATTACTTTTTTCGGGGTTTTGGCTGTATCCCTTTTCTGAAATTACATGTATAAATTATTAGTAACTTACTACATGGAATGCATTCTGTGAAAGATGTACATGTATATGTTGTAAATAAATTGTAAAATGGAAATATTTCGTTCTTATTTATACAAATACTGTCTCATGAAGATACATGTACCTTTACATGTAGGCATATATAAGGAACTTTTACTGCCTCGCTAGCTATAGTGAGCTAGATTTCCTGGTGTTGTGGTAGAGTCTCCCTTGATTTCAGGCAAGTTAATCTGCAGCGAGCCTGTATAGCCCTTGGATGGGTTAACCGCTTCATATTACATGTACACATATTTGTTTAATATGTTTAAATAAATATTCGCTATTAACCTTACACACTCAGGAAAAAGTGGCTCACATGATATTCATGTGATTTTCTTTTTATTTGAAAATTGTGCGAAAATCGTGTAAAAATTATATAAATATGTTTTCATGCGAATATCATGTGAATTGGTTTGTACGATATTCACATAATTTTTTTATAGAACTTTCATGTGAATTTTTCTTTGCATGATATTTATGATATCATGATATGCTCTTCATGTAAAATTCATATGAAAATTCTGTCAAAATCCCATGAAGTTTTCACTTAAATTTCACGTGTCTTGTTTTTCGTCCTTTCTAATTCAAAGAATTCACATGAAATTCATGTGAATTTGATATAAAATTTATGCGAGCCACTTTTGCCAGAGTACACGTTTGAACTGATACATCCATATTATTCATGTCTGTACAGCATTCGTAACCAGGTGAAGTTTTAACTTTAGAGTTTTAACTTCAAAACCTAAAATTAGTTGAGTAAGATCGATGAAAACTGGCATGAACTGATACATTCATCAGGAACATAAATGTAGGAAGTGTTTAAATCAGCCTTGTGTCTTTTCTCCGGTCTCCAATGCAGAGTTGTCGTTCGTTCTTCTCTCAGACAACTCTGCAATTGTCAAAATTTTTTAGACATAAAGTAAAAAAAAATGATATTCCTACGATTATATCAAATCAAACTAATATTTAATATTTTTCTATATCTCTTTAATAAATATCTACCTAAAAGATAAACATTAGCGCAGGCATTCAATTAAAATGAATTAAAACAAACGCACTATTTCTCCTGCTTATCACCGATATATACAAGCCAAAGACAGGGTTAAATATATGAAGATATGGTAGAGATTGTCTATTCCCACATTCAGATTCATAATATGAATTTTTTGGTTGAAATTTTTTGTTTCAAGATAATATAACACTACGTACTAAAAGGTTCTCCCAGTTCAAAATAAGACTTAGAATTGTAGATGAATGAATAAAAAATACCCGTTTGCTTCATATATATATATATATATATATATATATATATATATATATATATATATATATATATATATATATATATATATAATGTTCATTACTTTCATCCCCTCTCCAATCTTTATTAAGAAAAAAAATATCAACATTACAAGAATTTCCGTTCTTGTTATGAAGGATCGTTTTCAAAAAGATAATAGATAGTTAACCTCTCCTCTGGAACTCTAAAGATAATAGATAGTTAACCTCTCCTCTGGAACTCAAAAGATAATAGATAGTTAACCTCTCCTCTGGAACTCTAAAAATTGACAAGCGCCATATTTTTCCCCGCTTTAGCTAATGTAATATAAAATAATTTATGTTAAAGTACCCGAATAAGTGTTTTCCTGTTTCTATATATGCGAACAAATTCAATCGTCTCATTGAAATCTAACGGTTTCTACAAGAATCTCACAAATTCATCTGAAAAGCTATCGAGTGACTTAAGTGGGTGAAACGTATTGATCAATTGAACTTTGAACCCACCCACGATTTACCGTTTTGTCAATATTAACGAAACTTCTTCAGGTGTCGTCTTATGAAAGAGTTTAACGAAAGTTTTATATAAGTCATGTACATGTAGAAAAAGTGATAAAGTTAATAAATTTATATTATAAATAAACTGTTTAAAAGTAAATCAACAAAATCAAAACAACATTTTAAATGCTAAATAACTTATTTCCTTAGTCATTAATTCTTTCTATTCATTTATTTATCATGTTCTATAACAGTATTTATTTTGAGCAATTAATGCATGATAATTGTTTGTTTTATACCATTCCGAAAGAGATAAGTAAGAATAAAAATCCAAAAAGAAAAAGAAAAGAATAACAATACCTATTGATTTAGATACTTTAGATTTTCACCTGTGCAGAGGACTAAAAACGTGTTCCACGAATCTTTGCTATATAACATACAAATACACTTCTGGCCTTGATTCTGTAAATCAAATCTACATTTACATGTAGTATGACAGTAGATTAACCAAATTACTTTTTTATTACAATTTCACCTCGCTTTCTTTACTCCCTGATTTTATCCCCGTTTTAAATGTCTTATCACCGTTTCGAAAATTACCTCAATATTTTCTTTCTACCTGAGGATTGATTGACAGATCTAAAAATAGACATCAGCTCACTAATATCTAAGGCTCAGGGATGACATTTACCGACTTTTTAGAGAGAGAGAAAAAAGTTTATAATTTATTATTTCTAAATTTACAAAAAGAAGTGGATCATTTAACTTAATTTGAAGATCTTCCCGGTACGACATTGAATTCTGTGAAATTCTAACATTTGAGATATCTAAATACACGTGGCTCATTATACCGTTATATTTTTGTGCAATATGGAATTAAAAAGCACCTGTTTGACGTAAGAGATTTTTTTAATGTCATCCACCGTGCAATGTTGAAACCGGAGGAATAATTGGATAGTTTATCTCACACGGGTCGCCTCAGGTAAGTGTGTGTTTTATTAACTTTACGTAGGTAATTTATACCTATACATGTAATGTAGAAAGATGGATTTTATTTTAAGAATGGGGTCCTGAATTTTAATAAGATAGGCCATATTTTTATATAAAGTTTTATGTAGCATTATTTTTAAATGTAAATGGAGTTAACATTTAGGTCAATTGTTAAAAAAGAGGATTTCTGATTACGCAATAGGTGAATTAAATTTGAAATAGGCGCCTATGAATTGAAATCGAGACAAGATTATCATGTCTGGTGTAGGGGTCTGTAAAAGGTAGCGCTGAAAAAAAAATAGTTCCTTTATCTTACAGGTTAGAATATAATTTTTTTTATTTCATGAATAAGAATAATGAAATAAGGAAATGCGATATTTCAATGAAAATATATATATATTTATGAAATGAAATGTGATATTCTAATCAATGGACATAGCAGTAATACCCAGGTCCCCTTAAAGCCCCCGATAATCGTTATGAATGAATATTCAAAATCGATTCCCTTTTATCAGATAAAATACACGGTGCACTCTAAACATGTTAAACAAGCCTCGAACAGAATTCTCGTGTCTGGAGGGTTTAATTGAGTGTAATATTACCTCCGCCAGTATAGATTGAATATTTCAGCGAAAAATTTGGTCTCGATCTCTTTTACAGCGGACCTTAGTTTTCTGTTAACCATTTATTAAAAGGGTATTACGCATACCAGACAATATAAAGACAATATAAAGAGTAAGATTTTTTTCAAAAGTAAAAGTATCTATGTCCTTCTGATCGAGAAAAAAAGTAGATATTTAACCTTGACCCCCCCTCCCTACATCACTACCCCGACTCTACATACCACCTGGACGAGACGGAATACACTACCCATCTTTATTGGTGAATAAAATATATCATTACTACTAGGTATAAAATGTGTCTTTTTTATTTCACTAGTTAAGATGGGGGAATGGCCTGTATTCTGTGGTTTACATTTTTTTTTTTTTTTTTTTTGGAAAGTGATTTAATAATTTGAATTTATTTTTAGTTTGCCGCAAACTTCGCTATCATTCAATCATGCACTTATCGTGTATGTATTCAGACTTCGGCTATACCTTGAATTATTGCCGGATAAAAATAACCCCTCCCA